AGTGTAAACACAGGAAGCTTTTTGAAAAGTTGCTGTACCACGCTTTTCTGTTTGCTTCTGTCAGGTTACAATCTATTTTCTTTTTCCTAGCAAACATTTTTGATTACTTAGCATATCTTAATTAATATGCAAACACAGACATGGATTCTCACAGCATAAAAACAGAGGCATTGGCTGATTTATGATTTTAATCAGGTCAGCCTTAGCTGATATGCAGTAAGAAATAATTAGCTGGTTGTTTGTACACAGAATTGCATTGTACTCAGCCCATAGGAGATAGTTTTTCCTGACACTTCAATCCCCTGCTGACTTTGTTTTCTTAGCTTTCCTTCTGGTTTCAAAACAGAAGTGTGTTCCACCTCTGAGATTATTTTCTATTCTTAACCAAGGGTAGGTAGGCCATTTACAGGCCTTAGGCTAAAATATTAAAATAAGAATTTGATTAGTAGTTGCAGTGGTCAAAATACATTGTTCAGGGAAATTTCTGTGTGTTTAGTAGCAACTCTCACTCTCTGCCTTGCTGTTTCTTCTATTGCCATATAATTTAAAGCGCATCTCCAAATTTCTGAAATAGCCCAACTGTCACGTAGACTGCACAACTGGGACGTGTTGGTATTGACTGGCCTGAACTGGCCACCAGCTTTTCTGAAACTGAGGCACAGACCCAAGATTCTTCCAGAAGAGAAGTATTACAGCCACAGAGGGGCCTTTTCCCCCCCTCCCAGATCCCAGTTGTGCCCAGATCTCAGCTCAGCCAGTAATCAGTCATGCTGCTGTATCTGTCCTGTGAAAAGAGAGGTTTAGTCTGCAAGGTTATCAGTTTAATCACATTTATCAGTAGCTGAGTGTGGATTTTGTGTGCCTGCCACCACATCTGGAGGTGCTGGGCAGTTCTTGCCATGTCCTGCTATCCATGTTGGTAAAGATGGCATGCAAGTGGCTCTTGCTCGTCACATCTGTGCTAACATCACTTCAGTTTGTTGAGTGCCCAAACTGGTCTTGATCTTTAGAACTGCATAAGGTTTTACTAACACTTTGTGAAAACCCATAAACTTCTCCTTGCCCAGGAGATCAGACTAACAACATGGTTTCTGATGTTGCTTCCCTGCAAACTAATTGATGTATTTGGCACCAGCTAACAGACATCCAAACGTTTGTACAGATCTGAGTTACCGAGGGTCTGTCTAGACTAGATAATTACTTCCCCTTTTGGCTTGATTTCGCTGGTTGCCAAGTTGGGTAATGTTTTAACCTTGAATTCTGCAGGCACAGTTGCTTCCAAAGCCCTTGTAATGAGCAGCCATCTAGCAAGTTGACATGACAAGACTCTGCTAATCTGAGTCTTCTGCCTGTGAATCTGGTCACATCGCGGTCAACGCTGATGCATTTGCATTAATCCTGCTCCTGTCCATACATCTTAATTCACCCCGAGAGCTCTGCTAAATCCTTTTGTTAATCGTTTTCTCCCTGTCTCCCCCCGTGAAGCGAAGTTCATTCTGTGCCCAGCGCTGACGCAGCCAGGTTAATAACTATCGATGTTGCCACGTTAATAACGGCCTTGCTGCCCGTGAATCGGAGCCTCCCCCTGATGAGGTGGTGGACATGACCCACTTAATCATTACATCTCTCTGTCCACAGATCTCAGTTCACCCTGTGAAATTTTAATCATTCTGACTAGCTAATCACGATAATTTCTCACTGTCCGAGGTTGTGAATTCACCCTACGAGCAGCTCCGATGTCCTTGTTAATCATTGTAACCTCGCGCTGCTCACAGACTGCAGAGCACGGTGATGTCTGTGCCGTGATGTCCGTGCCGATTGCTTCCACACCTCACTGCCCAGGGACAGGACATGCATTGCGAGGGATGCCCAGCGCGCTTCATTCTCTTTCTGCCCCAGTTCCTGTGGTCATTGCAAATCCTTTCCTCCAGCAGCAAAGCTTTCCTGGTGCTGCCTACACGCAACCAGCTGTGTGCAGCCCCTCCAAAGTGACGTGTTGAATAATGGAGTGCATCTGCATGCGGAGCAGCCCAGCTCTGTTGGTTGCCTGGTGCTTTCTTGAAAGGTGAGCTCAGAGAACAGAGATGAGCATTAACTGAAGGAGATGTTTTGGTTCATGCTGCTGAGTTGCACCATTGTGCTGGGTTGGTCTGACACAACTGCAAAACTAACTAGGTGTTGATGTGGTGCTCCATGCTGTTCCCTTATGTTGGCTCCAGCACGGGGCCCAGTGCTTTTAATGAGCATTTATGGCTGTTACTGCCTCTGCCTGCACCATCCTGAAATGTTGCTGGAATCTAATGGACAATAAGAGGGAAGATCAATCACTGTTTTAGGGCACGTTTTCCACCCCAAGCTTGGAGAATGTGGCCCGGGTGGAAGCTTGGAAACGACTTAAGGAAGTTTGGTGGAACCACAAGAATTGCAGGTATTTTGCAAGCTCAAGTCCATGTCTTTAAGACAGGCATGTGAATTGCAGCAGAGGCTGTGCAACTGCCCTTAACATTTGGAAAAGAAACTTGGCTCATTTTAGGCAGGTTTCTCCCATGTGCTCTGTACTGTCCCTCCCAGGCTTGCTTGATGGGCTGGTTTTGTCTCTCCAAAAACCAATCTAGTTTCAGCTGCAAGTAGAATTGACAATCAGCTTCAAAAGAAGCTGCTTACCGGCTTTGCGAGCCAAAAGGGTAGAAATAACAGCATAACACAAGTCTAAAAAGATCCACCTCTGTTTTCAGAGAGCTGCAGAGTCAGTGCCATTGGTCAGCTTTGGGAGGCAGCACCAAAGGTCACCTTCCCCGCTGCATCCTGAGCCAGTGCAGCTTTCCAGAGCCTTCTGGTTGGGCAGCTTGGTGCAAGGTATTAGATGACATGGAAAACTTGTTGAGATTTTATTTTACTTTTTTTTTGTTTGTATTTTCCTCCCTCTCATCTTTAGAATGGTTTGGGAGTTTAGATTAATGAACAGAGAAGCAGTTAGTTTGATTAAAAGTGGCATATGTTCTGCTGTGGTGGAGGCAGGCTCAGGGGTGTTTCATGCCCGCATTTTGAGAATAAGAAACCACTTTTACTCTTGGGCACAATGGTAAATAACATTTTTTTCCAGCGGAATGATGGAACTACTTTCATGCAGATGATTTTGTGCTTCCAAGGGAAGGGAAGACTGGTGTCTTGGAAAATCGAAAATAAAAAAAAAAAATAAGGGGTGGGGGGGAGGAATTGGGGGAGAGAGAAAGTTATACTTCAGTGAAGCTAATTAGCATTTAAAGAAAAGCACACTATGAAAAGGTGAACGTAATGCTGCAGAAATGCTGTATTAAAGGGACAGAAGTTAACAAGGACTCAGCTTGAAAAAATGTATGCGGATATTTCCTGTTAGTGTAATCAGGGAAGTATGGAGACCAGTACTGCTGCTTTAGTACAGTGCAAGGAACAAAGCAAGCAGGTATATCTTTTTATTTGTGCTGGACTGTCTGCACCCTGGCCAACGCAGGTGCAGAGGAGCCGGAGCTTCTGCATCCACTCCAACTTCTGGCAGCCCCTTCCAGGGGCATCAGCAATGCCAGCCTCCTGCACCTCAGATTCTTCATTGTCAAAGGGAGACAAGTAAACACTGCATGTTTTCATAGTTGTTTGCAAATGTCTCGTTGGCAAATGCAAAATGTTTTTAGGACTTAACTTCTGGGAGGCACCAAGCACACAGCTGCCAGCCGCCTCGTCCTCTGGAGAGCCCCAGGTTCTGAATAATTCCCTTCACCCTGACCCATGTCGACTCTCTCCAACTCTGCAGCAGAAATACTGCACGCAGTCAAGGAAGTAACATTTTTTAAAGGAGTTCAGGAACTAAAATCCCATTTGTAAAGATAACTTCAGCTACGTCTGCACCGTAATAAAGCCCAAGACTGGGAGCATGCCTGCTGTTTATATTCACCTTAAATCTTACAGTACAAGCTTTTAAAAGTTTTTTTTAACCATGCCGCGAAGCTTTCACCAAGCCAAGATCAGAGCACAGTGACTGTATTTACCACATGTAATTCATTCTAAGGAGAGTGACAAAAATACTTATCTTGAGAAACATGAAAGCTGGATAAAAGAAAAGGCAGCAGGGACATGAAATATGAACTATCAGAGCTACTCTCTGAAGTGTAGCTGTGTGAGAAGTAGAAATATTTAGGTTTTGAATTTGGGCATGTTACTCTGGATAACCCCCTGGTTTCAGATGGAGATCTACTGCAAACAGACTGGTATCAGCATCGAGAGAGATAAAGTGATCTTATTAGTGCATTAGAATATATTCTGTGGAATGAACAATAATAATTCACTGTCATATGTCATAAATGTCACAGTTTGTGTCTCGTGCTGCTGTATTCATGTCACACAGCCCTAACAGCAAAGGCAGATTAAGTGGGGTGTAAACTTGTTTATTGATTAAAAAAAAACAAACAATGTTTGTTTATCGATTTTTTAAAAATGATAACAGGTTTGTTTGTTCATGCATATGATGCTCATGGCATGTGTAGGTTATACTTGGCATTTATCAGTGCTTCTTATGACTGTGCATCACGATTTGTTCCTGCTCCCTAACCTTGCCCTGATGGTTATGGTCCTCTGAATAAGTGCGGGGGCCAGTGGTCTCCCCACTTGGATACCCACCATGCGACCCAACCACAGCTGTGACTTGTACACCCCTTTTCAGCCCCCTCCTCACAGGCAGGGGTAGAGAAAAGGCAGAACAGAAAACAGAGCTTCATCAAAATGAAGCAATTGGCCTGAGACTAGAAAATCAGGAGCCAGGCTTTGGTGCAGAACCATAGTTTCTGACCATCGATAGCAATGCCCCTGGCCTCGTTTATCTTAACTGGTAAATGAAGTTGGTATAACCCAGTGATGGTATCTGCTCACGTGCAAACTGCAGGGTGATCTGAGCCCTGAGTGGGATGGAGTCTCATGGGGAGATGAGGTCACAATGGGACTCAACTGTGTTTTGGATCTTATGTCTTCAGATCATGTCTGTGACAACTGCCTGCTGGTGGCAGCTGCAGGAGCAGAGGATTTCAGCCCTCCCATGTTCAGTGCTTGGGACGCATGTGGCAGAGTGGAGCTGGCAAGAGGAGATTCCCTTTTCTGTGGCATGAATTACAGGTTGGTCTTCACCCATTCTGTATCCTGTGCATGGAGGTAGGTGTTTGCGGTCCCCAGTACTGAACATACCTCAGCTGTTCTCTGGGTCGGTGAGGTTTTTCTGGTAGAGATTACAGCAGGATCTTTCAGTGTGATAATTCAGGTATAATAGCTTCTCCTCCCCTGATGAGGCTGACTTGTGAAATCTATTAAACTATGTGGTTCTGGCTTTATTCCTGGACTCCTCAAGATAAAGGCTTTTAAGTGTTTTTTTTTTTTTCTTTTTTTTTTTTTTCCCCGAAGTAAATCTTTATTTGTTATCAAAAGTTTAGACTCGCCAATTATCAGCATTTTGAACCTGAAGATAGTTCTGACTGGAAAACATCCATAAGTTGATCATCTAATGCTTGTGGTTTAAGTGGAAAAGCCAAGCACAGTACTTTATCCAGTCCCCACAATTTCCTCCATCTGAAACTCTGAACTAGCTTAGAATCAAGGGGGTAAAATACAGCAGAGGATCTTCTGACTTAAGAGATCAGAAGGATTTTCTCAGGGTATGAGAGCTTCCAGCACCACTTCAGGATTTGATTCCTCAATACCCTGTTCCTATCTCTGCTTAATACAAAGACTTTCCAAGTTATTAAATTGTGCACTTCAGTCTCCCCTTGTCCTCCTCCCCGAGAGCTCTGCAGATGCACTGTCACTGGACACTGGCTCCAGGTGATTACTTTCAATGAGTTTGCCCATGCCAATGCCAGCCTGTCCCATCCAATCTCCAGCCCATCCCAGCTGCACACATGGTACAGGCTCCTGCACCATTACAAGAGTGTTCCTCTAATTCCCAGAACCCACTCTCTGGGATGGACAGGTGAAAATGATGTGGAAAATTGGAAAATGCTGTTTTTACAATGCTGCTGCTGTCTATTTTCCAGTAAGACTTCTTCAGGAGTTAAAGAAAAAAAAAAGGAAGAAGAATGGGAAATAACCATCAACTAGGTTATGCGTAACAAATATGGTTAGGGGTTTGGTGCAAATGAAAATGAGGAGCCTCTTGGGAAAAGTACAGATTTTGTTTTGATTTTATACTGAAGCCCTCATAGTCAGTGGAAATGTGCTTGGATTTGTACAGGCTTCTGCTAAATTACTTTGAAAGAAAATATCATTTCCAAGCCAAATTATCTGCTGGGAGGAATAATTTTCCTGATTTTGAATGGATTTTTTCCAGGAGAAAATCTGGCCAATCTTACTTAACCAAATCACAACTTGGACCATAGGCCTGGAAGCAGGATTCATTTGGATGTTTTAACCTCTAGTGAATAGCAAATAGAGAATGCAGTGCAAAATAAAATGAAACAATATGTGTAATGAGCAGATTAAAAATGCAGCTTAAAAAAAAATTGCTTTCTTTTTTCTCACAATCTATCAGGGCATCAATAGGTCTTTCATTGAGCCTGTACATCGTTATTAATAGTGCAGACAAATGCAAATTGTAGGTTTTGGGGTTCTCTAAGCTTCGTATGGCTGCTCCAGGAAAAGTAAAATGCAAGTTGAATATGAAGACCCAAAAAGGAGCAGAGACCAGGATGGGGCAGCATGTGGTGCAAGGTGACGCACTGATGTGCTCTGTGTGGAGATGTTCAGGCTTTGTCCAGAATAGTTAAACCTCTGAATCAACTAAATCCAGTAAAGCCTCATGTGGGTTTCCTAGTTCATATTTGTAAGTGGCTTTGAATAAATTTGGTATAATTTGCCTCCAAAGAGAATAAAATTAATTCCAGTATGGCCATTCTTAATCAGAATTTAAACTGGCCATGATTCTGGTTAATACAGTAAAATAATTAATTTCAGAAGTTAATTTGGGTTTGTCCTCCTGAGGGGCCCCTGTGTGTGCAAACTTGAATGCTTCTTGGTATATCCACACAACCTTAAAAAAAATCTAGTGGTTTCCTATCTGTTCGTATTTCTTACTGGTGTTTGGTAAATGTCATACTACCAATCCATCCTCCTCACCAGTGCAAACCTCCACCCTGTGAGCTTGGTGGATTTTACCTCTGACTGTTGAGTGCCATTCTAAATTTATCACAAAAAATCAACAGAAGATTTTTTCTTTTGTCCCTGATGTCAGATCTTATTTTCTTTTGAACTATAGCAACTACATACCCGATGGAGATAGTGCATTATGACTTTGAGGTCTCTGCTGATTACTAACCTATTTATAATGAGTACCGTAGACTGCAGGAGTATTTTATAACCTTTAAGAAGATGTTTCTCTGAATGGGTCAATTTAAGACCTCTATTAAACAAAGTTCATGATCTCCTTTAGATTCTGGTTGTTTTTGTCAGCCAACAAGGCATAAAAACATAACTACACTTCATAATATTAATGACGGGCTGTAAAAACAAAGCATAACATTTTATAGCTTTATAACCAATCTTTTTGTTATTAATTTACAGTGATATGCATCAAATATATATAATCTGTAGTTAACTTCCAAACTTTCACAAGTTGATGGTATGGAATACTATAGTGAACTAATGAAGTTTATAAATATATGGCTTTGTTTGAAATACTTAGTATTTTAGATGAAGGATGCAAAAGCTGTGATTGAAGCCAGCATGGTATATCAAAGTTTTCCTGCTGGAACAACCACAACACTGTGTCTGTTTGCAGATGGAAGCAGGGCTTGGGAGTTGAATCAGAGCTTTACCTGTGATGTTAGCTTGGGGTACAAATCTATTTGCTGGGTTGGTAATTGGAACTTTTTGGTCACTTGACCCATGAATAGAGTTTAACATTCACCAGTGCTGGACTTGAAGGGTTGCTGTGTTGCCTTGAACTCCTGGGCACATGGCTTCCAGAAGCCCTGTGTAGCCCCATTCCTCTGGAAATTTTCCTTCTACGGGAAATATGAGGGAAGGTGGAGAGGCAATGGAGGGAAGGCTGAAAGAAAAGCTCTCTGGGCTCGTGGATAATAGACTTTGGGAAAGCAAAATGGGCAGAATCACAGTGCCTTGGCTAAACTGTGCAATAGAAATGCTTGAGGGATAATTAAAGGTTATTTTAAAGTGCTTCACCATGTTTATTTTCAGTGAGTCACAATTAAAAAAGACCAGGAGAGGAAATTGATATAGCAACCGCTTTTCTTTTATCAGAGCAAGGCCTGGCTTCTGGCTCATGTTCAGACAGCCATACCTACCCCACTCCCACACGACATCTCTTGCTCAGAGTCTTACAGGTTGTGCACAGTCACAGCCTGGGTCCCCGTGGGCCTGCATTTGAAGGGGTTCACAGTAGAGTGGAGAGACCTTTTCCGCATCCTTTGTGCCCACTGGTTGAGGTGTTGTGGTCCCGTCTGGTCACGCTGTCTGTGCAGACTGGAAATAGTTCCTGCAGAGCTGGTGTGGATGGGGGTGGTTGAAATAGTTGCTTAGAGCTGCTGTAATTGTCCCAGCAGTGGCTTGGAAATAAAAGACTATATTTTTTGTGCATCAACTTGAACTGCTTAAAAGCATTGCAAAGGTTTTATCCTAGATATATTGATCCTTGATATATTTGTGCTGGCCTCTGGAGAGAAAACCAAAGTAGCCTGCATGTTCCCGATGTTTTTTTGTTGTTGTTGTTTGTTTCCAGCTGATTAGAGCCAATGGTGCAAAGCTGTGAATGATCTGTCTGGCTGACCAAGCGTACAGCACTGGCTACATCCTTTTAGCAAACGTATAAGTGAAAAACCTAGCTGACTTGAGAGACACCACAAATTGCAGCTTAATTGCAATGTGTTGAAGAAATGCAGGAAAAGCTCAAATGATTATGATTTCTGGGCTTTCAAACCAAAAGGGGGACTCACTGCAGTAATTTCAGTTCATTACAGATATTCTAAACCTGCCTCGCCTAAGTGAGTTTAATTTTTTTCACCTGTCACTTATCTGCTTTTGAGAAGTGTAATTACTACATTTGTTCAAAGCTGTAGGCCTCTGAAATGGGAAAGGGATTTTTTTTTCCTATGCAAACATTAAAAAAAAACACAAAGGGGGAAAGGGAAGACTATTTTTGAGACAGGCTTTGCCACACACGTGCCTATGCACAGATATATGGCCTCTTTTAGGTTGTCTTTCTTTATTTTAATATCTTAAAAACCGCATATATCTCTGGGGGAAGCCTAATAAGAAATATCAAGCTGAAGCAAAGATTTTAGGAGGAAAAAGAAGTCAGGGGACCTGTGCTGTAGAGACAGCAGTTCAAACAGTGAAAAAGAGGACACAGCTGTGCACATCAGAAATCCACAGCTGGGGAAGTGGAAAGAATATTCCCACATCTGCCCTTATAAATCATCCCTCACCTTTCAGATCCTTTTGTTTTCTGTTGTGTTGAATAATTTCATATAGAGGGAGAGGTATTTGCATTTTTCTCCTGCTGTTGTATGTGATATCTAGGTCAGTTCTACCGACCAAAGCACCAGAAAAGCACTGTGGATTTCTCTGGTGTCCTTTGTAGCAGGGGTGTTTTTCTTACCCTTCAAAGTCAAGGATTCTCCAGCAAAACAACAAGGCCTTAGCAGCAGGTGCATAAACCAATACACAGACAAAGCCGAGAGGAAAATGCAGTACAGGCTCTGTCATTAAAAGCCTCATGCTAGCAAGGTCTGAGGAGATGGTGGAGCAGCACTGTACTAAAAGCATCTCTCCAGACCACAGCAGAGCAATAAAACAAACCAAAGCTTGGACACTTGCTGTAACTCTTCAGGGAGTGGATGTAAAGGAATAAAGCACTGAATCTTTTCTAGCTCCAAGAATTACTTAATTCTTCCTCATTCCTAACACATCTCAAGACAGAGCAGCACAGATGCTGTTTACGCTGTTTCTCAAGGTTAAGAGTTTGAGCTGGAAGCAGCCAAAGCAGTTTTGCTAGAGGAACTTTTCTGGCTGCATGAGCACTGGCCATGCTTTAGGACCAGGCTAGGATGAAGCACTTGCAGCCATGGTTCTGAATTGTCCAGCAGTCCACAGTCCCTGCGCTGGCATAA